CTTGTGGGATGATGTAGTGTTTGTTCGCTTGTGGGATGATGTAGTGTTTGTTCGCTTGTGGGATGATGTAGTGTTTTGTTCGCTTGTGGGATGATGTAGTGTTTGTTCGCTTGTGGGATGATGTAGTGTTTGTTCGCTTGTGGGATGATGTAGTGTATGGGAGTGGAACGAATCATTTGTTATATTATACTGTGTTTAGTTTTTTCTGTGGTGAGGTGTGGAGATTATTTCTAACCTTTATTTTGTTTCGTAATTTTTTGAGGTGTTATATATTATGTATTTGTATATGAAGTTTAATATACAACAATAATAAGTGTGTAAAGAATTTTTGGATAATTGAGAATGTCTTCGTACATACAGTTTTATGTAAAATGTAAATACCTGTGACATTCTTTGGGTTATTTTGCATATTGTGTTTATGGCTGTAATTTTGGATGTAATAAACCCACCTGTATTTGAAGATGTGGGCTGTCTTTAGTTTACTATATGTGATGGTTGGGTTTTTTTTTTTGGGGGGGTATCAAACTTTTTAGTTGAACGTGTGTTTTCTTAAGTATAAGTTTAGTGCTAAGGTAGGGAATGTGGAGCTTTTTGTTGTTATATATAATGGTTACGTTTCATTGTTTACATTGTCTACATGTATAATTGTGTATTGCGTTTTTAAATAAAATATAAAAAAATACAATAATAATAATAATAATAATAATAATAATAATTATAATAATATATTTACTACAAGTACATGCACATGATATACAGGCCTAGCTGACAACAATGACATACTACTATATAGAAAGCCCCTTGTCATACTCAGCTTTTCGGGCAAATTAGGTCAGTGTTCCAGGATGCGACCCACACCAGTCGACTAACACCCAGGTACCCATTTTACTGATGGGGAACATAGACAACAGCTGTAAAGAAACACGCCCAATGTTTCTACTCTGGCTTGGAATCGAACCCAGGCCGTTGCTGTGTGAAGCAAGAGCGTTTGCCACGAAATTTGTTAGTAAGTTGGTTAGGACAGTTATCGTAACAGTGTTAGATAGAATATATTTATTTATGTTTTACTGTAACTTTATATATAGAAAGCTTTACCTATTTGGCACCACACACACACACACACACACATACACAAAAGGCAATGGGACCGGACAACATCTCTCCATGGGTCCTTAGAGAGGGAGCAGATATGTTGTGCGTACCACTTACCACAATCTTCAACACATCCCTGGAAACTGGGCAACTACCTGAGGTATGGAAGACAGCAAATGTAGTTCCCATTTTCAAAAAAGGAGACAGAAAAGAGGCACTAAACTATAGACCTGTGTCATTGACGTGTATAGTATGCAAAATTATGGAGAAGATTATCAGGAGGAGAGTGGTGGAGCACCTGGAACGGAACAGGAGTATAAATGCCAACCAGCACGGATTCACGGAAGGCAAATCCTGTGTCACAAACCTTCTGGAGTTTTATGATAAAATAACAGAAGTAAGACAAGAGAGAGAGGGGTGGGTTGATTGCATCTTCTTGGACTGCAAGAAGGCCTTTGACACAGTTCCTCACAAGAGATTAGTGCAGAAGCTAGAGCATCAGGCGCATATAACAGGAAGGGCACTGCAATGGATCAGAGAATACCTGACAGGGAGGCAACAACGAGTCATGGTACGTAATGATGTATCACAGTGGGCACCTGTGACGAGCGGGGTCCCACAGGGGTCGGTCCTAGGACCAGTGCTATTTTTGGTATATGTGAACGACATGACGGAAGGGTTAGACTCAGAAGTGTCCCTGTTTGCAGATGATGTGAAGTTAATGAGGAGAATTAAATCTGATGAGGACCAGGCAGGACTTCAAAGAGACCTGGACAGACTGGACACCTGGTCCAGCAAATGGCTTCTCGAATTTAATCCTGCCAAATGCAAAGTCATGAAGATAGGGGAAGGGCACAGAAGACCACAGACAGAGTATAGGCTAGGTGGCCAAAGACTGCAAACCTCACTCAAGGAGAAAGATCTTGGGGTGAGTATAACACCGAGCATGTCTCCGGAAGCACACATCAATCAGATAACTGCTGCAGCATATGGGCGCCTGGCAAACCTGAGAACAGCATTCCGACACCTTAGTAAGGAATCATTCAAGACACTGTACACCGTGTATGTCAGGCCCATACTGGAGTATGCAGCACCTGTTTGGAACCCGCACTTGATAAAGCACGTCAAGAAACTAGAGAAAGTACAAAGGTTTGCAACAAGGTTAGTTCCAGAGCTAAGGGGAATGTCCTATGAAGAAAGATTAAGGGAAATCGGCCTGACGACACTGGAGGACAGGAGGGTCAGGGGAGACATGATAACGACATATAAAATACTGCGTGGAATAGACAAGGTGGACAAGGACAGGATGTTCCAGGGAGGGGACACAGAAACAAGAGGCCACAATTGGAAGTTGAAGACACAAATGAGTCAGAGAGATAGTAGGAAGTATTTCTTCAGTCATAGAGTTGTAAGGCAGTGGAATAGCCTAGAAAATGACGTAGTGGAGGCAGGAACCATACACAGTTTTAAGACGAGGTTTGATAAAGCTCATGGAGCGGGGAGAGAGAGGGTCTAGTAGCAACCGGTGAAGAGGCGGGGCCAGGAGCTAGGACTCGACCCCTGCAACCACAAATAGGTGAGTACAAATAGGTGAGTACACACAGGCGAAATATTCACAAACACTAATCTCAGGTCGAAGGAGACTCGAAACTACGAACCTCGGAACAAGGAACGCAGTGCTCTAACACTGTACCATACTCGTCCAATAGCTTGGTGCCCAGCTAACGCAAGACGTTTTGGTCCAAGGCAGCCAGCTTTCAGGCAGGTGGCTTTCAGCTTTTCATCTCATCCCCTGCATGCATCGACCAACGAGAGATTTTTAGGATGTTTAGAATTCGCAAAACAGGAGAAATATTCACAAACACCAACAGTGTGGTACGGTGGTAGAGTACTGCGTTCCATGTTCCAAGGTTTGTAGGTTCGAGTCTCCTACCGGCTTAAGCCAATGCCCTAACCTAGTCAGGCCAGGTCACATTCACTTAAGGAAGGAGCATGGCACCTGACCTAGTAGCACATATATCCTGATGACGCAGGGAGACGTGTGAAAGATCTTGAGCGGAAGATTTTCATCCCCCGTGGTGTGTTTTGCATTTTTAAGATCGCCCCCTGGAGATCAAGTCAGCCTTCCGACGTCTTAACCCATTTGACCACCATGCTACTAATATCAGACCCAGTGAGTACACTGGCTCTGCCACTCCTGAAGCGAGGACAATTGTGGCCGGGGAAACGACAGGAGTTGCAGATTCAATGTACTCACTGGCTGCCTGAAATTTATAGTATGGTGGTTAGGTGGGTTAAGGCGTCTCGGGAGGTTAGCTTGGTTCACAGGGGCCGGGCTAAATGTCCCGGATTCGATTCATAGCTGGTTGCAGTATTGTTAGTTACCTCTGTAGATCTTGCAAAAACATATTTTTATAAGAGTTGGGAAAGACTAGACATCTTCATAAAAAATGCATTACACTTCATAATTAACAATGTTTTCTTGAATATTTAATCATTATCCTCGGGATTCGTTGCTGAAATCAAAACAAATGTTTTTGATAAATTAGACACATGTGCAACTCTTGGGTATCTTTATTGAGGAAACGTTTCGCCACACAGTGGCTTCATCAGTCCATGATTGATGGACTGAACACATCGACTCAAGGTTGAGGGACTGATTACCTCATTCTCCTCCTGTTCTTCAAGTTTCTCCTATGTATGGACTGATGAAGCCACTGTGTGGCGAAACGTTTCCTCAATAAAGATACCCAAGACTTGCACATGTGTCTAATTTATCAACATGTCGGTTCTCTGAACCATTCATCTACAAACAAATGTTTTTGTTTAAAGGTAGTCACTAAGCCTACAGCAATTGACACACAAAAAAATAGGTAACCCATAGTTATTTCAAAGTAAGCAACTTAATTAAAGAGTTAATATCATTAGGCCCAGTTATATATTTTGCAATGAAAAAGCATTTTATAATTCTTAAATTCTATATATTCGGTATCAAAGCAATAATTGTAGTCACGTAACGTATTAAATTTAAGTTTCAAGTTTTCGAAGTTGGATATACTGGAAGCACTTCAACTTAGTTTATTTTGTAAACTTTCTGTACGTCATTAAAAAAAAATATCTAAATGCTAATGTAGAAAAAAAAAAAAGGCATTTACATGCTAAATTAGAAGTGGATGTCCCTCTGCTGTTATAAGATATTCTTCAAACATAAAACAACTTTGTGTTTCATTGTGAATTGTAGCTACCACAAGCATCGTGTAGATTAGAAAACAGATGACGGAAAATTAGTGTACATATGCCGTTTCGTAGGCACTCGGGTATTTTTATGAGTCAAAATTTTTAAATTACGATAATAAGGAACCACAATACCCAATGACAGTAACATTATTGGGTATTGTGGTTCTTTGTTTTCTTAATTTTAACCAATTTTTTGAATGTCATGTAAAATATACCTGTGTGCTTACGAATGGCATATGTACACTAGGCTCGAAATAACATTAAATTTTTGATAAGAATTCTCTAAGAAGTGAAGTGTGTTATATGCTGTTTTCCAATTATTTTAATTCTCTCCACGACTGAATAGTATCACTGAAACAGCCGTGAAAGCAGTGATTCCATAAAGATTTTCTTTTTTTATAGCGAAACGTTGTGGTTAATAAGGGTAACTCTTGCATCCAGTTTGTTTACATTTACGTACCATTTGTGTTCCGTTCTCTTTTCTCAACCCAGTTTAATTAACGATACTTTTTTTTTACCCCCCCTAAAAAAAATTGTCTATCAAAAAATTTGCGGACTTCGTTACCATTCCTGTTATTTTTCTTTTCATTGAGAATTCTTTTTCAAATGTTACTTTTTTCGAACTTATGTAATTGTGGAATAAAGAAATAGAAAATAATTGATCTTTTCAGTCTTTATTTATGAAAAAAATGTTAGTTCCTTTACAGTGTGTCAATGTTTTTTGACAGGAAGTTGATGTTTCTTTCTGGTTTGTGTGGAACATCCATCGGTGTATATCGTTGATTACTTCCCGTATCCATAGCCGCCGCCATAGCCGCCACCGCCGTGGCCGCCTTTACCATAGACGCCACCTCCGCCATGGCCACCGCCTCCATAGCCGCCACCGCCATGGCCACCGCCTCCATAGCCGCCACCGCCATGGCCACCGCCTCCATAGCCGCCACCGCCATGGCCACCGCCTCCATAGCCGCCACCGCCATAGCCACCACCACCATGACCACCGCCTCCATAGCCGCCACCGCCATAGCCACCACCGCCATGACCACCGCCTCCATAGCCGCCACCGCCACCGCCTTTCGGGCCTGCTAGGTTGAAGTTATTGTTTGATGTTCCACCGACTCCCCCGTAGCCACCACCTCCTCCATGTCCTCCACCCCCATAGCCACCTCCTCCGTAGCCACCTCCTCCATGTCCTCCACCCCCATAGCCACCTCCTCCGTAGCCACCTCCACCGTGCCCTCCACCTCCGTGTCCACCTCCGTAGCCTCCACCTCCGTGTCCACCTCCGTAGCCTCCACCTCCGTGTCCACCTCCACCACCTCCGTGTCCACCTCCACCACCTCCGTATCCACCAGCCTGGATCATGGAGGCCAGAAGAGCCACACCCAGAAGGGACAACAGCAACTTCTGAAATTAAAAATTATATATATATATATATATATATATATATATATATATATATATATATATATATATATATATATATATATATATATAAAGAAATTTTAGTCATACAAAGGCCTTAAACAATACACATGTCTCCTTCAATACAAATGGCAATAGTTTCCCGTACACGCATAAATATTAACAGATATCACACACCAGAACACATGTGAAGACACTACTAGGCAGGACTCCACTTTTTTTAGAGGTGTAAAAGCTAGCTCAGGTAGGACGGGAGATGCTTATCCAGTTATGGTTAATCAGTTGACTAAAACCCGTCAGGAATTTTTGTTTCCCATTTTCTTACGAATAAATTACTACCACAGTACCAGTACTCATTGTCAGTAGAACCAACGCAGTGAAAGCCCAGACTGGATATATGCAATGCGAGATATGTCTCATGGTGTGTATACACCGGCAGTTTACTTTAATCACTATTTTTTTGTATTATTAATCTATTTTTGACTGGTGGTGAACTGGTTACCTGCATCCTTATTGATCCTTTGAGTAGTTGATAGGCTTTAAACCCAATTAACCCACCAGCCAGGTCGGCGAGGCTGTTCAGGTGGTTAGAAGCTGTTACATTAAATTTTAAATTACACTTCCTAATAGTCTGGTACAATATTTCACCTACCACCTATACTTTATTTCCTGGTACTCCTGCCTTTTCCAACACATTGGTAACTCTGGCCAGCTTCCCGACCGAGAGTTTCAAAATACGAATGATTCAATCAAGCTAATGATAGCAAAGGTTTTTCTCCTGTGATGTTCAGGGATTTTATCCTCCCATATGCTGGTCATCTTTTTGCGAAGTAGATAAGTATAGTGTGAATCATTATTATCTGATGCAGGATCGTGCTTCCAATTGCATCTTGCGTCGACCCCCACACAGATTTAGTGCTTCTTATACTAAGGAATAAATAATGTAATATATTCTTCAAACCTTAGTCCAAGCTTTATTTCTATAGACATTTGCTTCTCAAGGTACACTGTCAAATGCTTTAATTTCAGAACACATGGGACTTGACCTAATCTTCCGTCTAATGTTTTATCACCTCTGCATTTTTTTCTCCTCTCGCTGATCTGATCTCATTTTTTCCCTCGATAACAGTCAAAAGTGGAGAGAAAAGTTTTTCAATCTCAAATTCTAGTGTTTAGATATGTGACTGTTTTCAGCCGTGGGACTGTGACTTTTTCTCCCTACAATCAATTTGATTATCGTGGAAAATGACTGATATTCCGGCCAACAACAGTAAAAAATTGTCCGCGTTCATTTTCCTCCATCCCCCGGAAACAAACCCGTGTTATTTCGGATATGAGCCGTCTGCACTCTGTGATGCGGCTAGCATCCCGGAGGAATAATGATTCACAAAATAATCGGTAAGAGAGGAAGTAGCAAGAAGAACTGAACATTACCATGGTGTGTGTGGGATGGGTGGAGGTCTGAGGCAGACTGCATCGTCACCTACGAATCAACGTCGTTTTATACTCATTTCTTCGCTTGACGCCACACAAAGAAATCAGTGCGATTTAGCCAATTTGTGATGAAACCAAATTATGAAAGACCGGGAAGCTTTAGTGAGAAAAGGTGTATATTTACCATCTGAAATGCGACTTAATGATTTCTTTTTCAGTCTCTGTCCCCTCAAGGGAGGTTCCTTGACGCTGGCGAGGGGCTCTTGATCTAGGGAATTGGATCTGTACTCCAGTTCCCTGAATTGAGCCTGAATACCTTCCATCCCCCTCCTACATGCGCTGTATAATCTTACGGGTTTAACGCTCCCCCATGATTATAATAATAATTCAGTCTCTGTACTTACTTCAAAATATAAAATAAAAATAAAGCCTATATATGCATATTTTATTTTCACTTTTTTTACACATCACTTTCACAGGCTAAGAGTTGGTATCTTATCAACTTATTTTAGAGCCTAGCGCTGTCTTAAGGTATACTGTTACGTAGCAGGATGCAACCCACAACAGTCAACTAACCTCAGGTATGCATGGGTATTCCCAATACAAGCACTAAGAAGTGTATATCTATCCATATACACCAAGGAGCACATATAGCCGAGTATATACACCGTCGGGTGTATATTTTTCAGCCTAAATGTATTCATCCTGAGAGTTAATTTTAGTCCCCATTTTAGGTATTAAAGAAAACTTTCAGTGCACTTCTGATATGTAGCCTTATTGACCCTAGTGTAGTCGATAGGCTTTAAACCTCGTAAGGCAACTACAGTGCAATACAGTTTTCGTGAAAATAAATGAGGCAGATAAAGTGAAAGGTGTTGGTGTTAAACATTATGTTGGGTATCCAGACGGATCTCATTGTTACAAAATACTTCACAGTGTAATAATTAGAGATAATTATCTGCATAAACATAAACAATGGCGTAAAAGGCATAAAATACCGACCAAATATTTAAGAAAAATACGATAAATTTGTACATATGTAGACTACGCTTCGCTTGGAGACCAAGGAGACTAAGAATGAAGATCAAGATTGGAGAGACCAAGGATGAAGATCATTCTTGGAGACCAAGGGTAAAGACCATTACGGAAAACCAGGCTTTGAAAGCAAGGTTTAGCAAGCCTCTGACTTGAGAAACTTTGGTCTCCAAGACACTTATGAGAGGAACGTTAGGATGACATTTCGGTCCGCCCTGTACCGAAACGTCGCCATAATGTCCCTCGCGTCTGTGCACCTTTTTGGCGAATTGTTCCAGCTAGGATACTAAGAATTTTTATTCAGCACTTCACTTTTTTTTTTTAATAAATTTACTCTGTACGACTACGTGTTTGGCTCTTCCCCATAATTTTAAAAATATTGTACAAGCCTATACAAAATAATTTTTAAGGGCAATCATGAATTTTTAATCATAAATCGATTTTTATGAATGGATTTGGTAGGGAATCTTTGTCGGGGAGAAATATCTCATTTTTTTCATGTTTTCATGCTGCTGAGTAATATTTCTGTTGTTGGGAGTAATATCCCTATGGTCGGGAGTAATATCTCCATAATAATATCCCCATTGTCGGGAGTAATATCTCCATGATAATATCCCCATGGTCGGGAGTAATATCTCCATGATAATATCCCCATGGTCGGGAGTAATATCTCCATGATAATATCCCCATGGTCGGGAGTAATATCTCAATGATAATATCCCCATGGTCGGGAGTAATATCTCCATGATAATATCCCCATGGTCGGGAATAATATCTCCATAGTCGGGAGCAATATCTCCATGGTCGGGAGTACTATTTCCATGATCGGTAGTAATATCTGTATGGACGGGAGTACTATTTCCATGATCGGTAGTAATATCTGTATGGACGGGAGTAATATCTCCATGATCAGGAGTAATATCTCCATGGTCGAGAGTAATATCTCCATGGTCGAGAGTAATATCTCCATGGTCGGGAGCGATATCTCCATGGTCGGGAGTAATATCTCCAATATCAGGAGTAATATCTCACTTGTCGGGAGTAATATCTCCATGATCGGGAATACCACCTCCATGGCTGGGAGTAATATCTCCATGGTCGGGAGTAATATCTCCAATATCAGGAGTAATATCTCACTTGTCGGGAGTAATATCTCCATGATCGGGAATACCACCTCCATGGCTGGGAGTAATATCTCATTGGTCGGGAGTAATATCTCACTGGTCGGGAGTAATATCTCATTGGTCGGGAGTAATATCTCCATGATCGGGAATACCACCTCCATGGCTGGGAGTAATATCTCATTGGTCGGGAGTAATATCTCACTGATCGGGAGTAATATCTCACTGGTCGGGAGTAATATCTCACTGGTCGGGAGTAATATCTCACTGGTCGGGAGTAATATCTCCATAGTCGACAGTAATACATAATGCACTTTACAGTCAAGCATTAGATTCATCTATTAAATTTTATTGATAAAGAACGTAATAAAAATTCCTTACACTGTGCTGGAGTTCTTAATTCCGCATTACAACGTATTGCTCTACATCAACACCCAAAGAATCGCATGGCTTCAAAATATTATATCGTTATTCATAAAAAAAATCCGTATACTTAAAAAATCCTTAAAGTAATCAGTATACTTAAAAAAATCTTTGGTCACGTTTCTTGGAAATTTTATGCAGATCAACGGACTATAACGTGGAATTAATGGCTCTTTCTCTCGCGTCCAAGAAAAGCAGTATTTTTTAAATATACTGTCCAGCCTATTAAAAAAAACATAGTTGATTCGCTCTCAAGTCACTGAGGCATTGTTGAGCTGTCACTCCTGGCACTGACAAGCGTTTATGAGAATAAAAATATACTTTTGGCGAAGCTTGCCCATGGACACCAATAATATTGACATGTTAATAAAAATTATTATTATTATTATTATTATTATTATTATTATTATTATTATTATTATTATTATTATTATTATTAACTACTGTAAACTCCTATGAATCATATTGACCCAGACTTTCAGATAAACTCAGACTTATAAACACTCACAACGACACACTGCATTCACAAATGTCCCTGTTGGTAGACAGGAGGAAGAGAGATGTGACACTGGTTATATTTCTTCTGAGTAGCAGATTGCTAGAATGGGATCCAGAAGATAGTATGTGTTACAATAAAAAGAAAACCATACCACGGGTGGGGTTAGAACCCGCGATCAGTCTCAAAACTCCAGACCGACGCGTTAGCCACTGGGCCAGCTCGCCACAAAAAGGTTCAACCAACTAGGTACGTATATTGATACACCATAGGAAGGTTAGCATAGGCACCACTGTGACCACAAATACAAGTTTTTACAGACGAATCTCCAGCTAGCGTGGCAGTAACGAACTCTAGCTCAAGTTTTGAGACTGTTAGCGGGTTCTAACCCCGCCAGTGGTATGGTTTGTTTGCAATCGTGTCATTACGATTTCGTGAGTCATGTGCTACAATAATAGGAAATTAAATTTTGAGGGACAAACTCAATGTTGAACACAGGAAACCACAAACAAAAATAAGCTCTTTTAACTTTAAATAATATCAACAGGTAGATAGGCAACAAAAAATGACATGAACGTACACATTAAGCTGGAAATTTACGTAACACATTTCTGTTGGTGAAAACAAGAAATAAAAAAGAATACGCTTGACAGTACCAGATCGCCACTACAAAAAATCTGATCCGTATTAGAAAACATATTTCTGAAGCGGAACTTCTGTCACTTCAGAATGCAATATTGCCAGTCATAATCAGGTGTTAGGTGATATATTTTCATGGTTAGGATGCTGCCACTCCTAGTCTGTGATTGCAAAGGTCTGTAAGACTTGTTATTTATGTTATACAATAACGAAAATAAGACACGAGCAATATTTAGATACCCAGCTACACTCCCCGTCCTCTTGGAGATGGGGAAGGACTTTTGATAACAAGGTTTGTATCTTTCGCCCCTCAAGGGAGGTTCCTTGACGCTGGTGGGGGGGCTCTTGATCTAGAGAATTGGACCTGTGCTCCAGTTCCCTGAAATGAGCCTCAATGCCTTCCATACCCCCCTCCCACATTCGCCGTATAATCCTATGGGTTTAGCGCTCTCCCATGATTATGATAATAATAATAATAATAATAATAATAATTTGGATCTTTTTCCAAGGCTTCAGACCTGATTTCCTCCCATTCTTCACCCTCACACACTGACCGACAGGGTCTACCGTGTTTCTAGCACGGAAATCCCTTGATTTTTAAGTTGCGTGTTAGCCTATCAATCATTGCAACATGACAACAGGTGTTCATTGACTGTCATTAATTTACAAAACAAGTGAAGAAATCTGACAAAAAAAAAAAGGAGTATTATAATATTAATTCTTGTAATCTACATCTACTACTGTTTTTACTATAGCAGCTACTTATAGGACTTCTACATCCACTGCTGCTATTATTATTACTACTACTGCTACTATTTCTACACTACTATTACAACCACTACTACTACTACGACTGCTACTACTTTCTATACTACTTCCACTAATAATAATAATAAAACCTCATCAGCAACAAAAAACAAAAGAAATGAAAACATGAACAACAACTACACTGTCAATAACACAAAATATAACAAATGCAGTCTTGTTTTAATTTCCTCAGGTGGCCCCTAATAAACAAATATTTAAGCTTTACTGAACAAGTCTCTTAGCGAAGGGAGATAACTACATTCAACTACGTTAAACTGAGAAATAAAATGCTCACCTGTCTTTAATAAGCTCTTGAACCTGTGTGATGTTCAGTAGTGAGGTTTAAGATGATCCGAGCATCATGATGGCTTTTTTTTAGTATTAGATTTTCTTTACATCTTGTGAATTCTCCTGCCCACTTATTTACACTTCATCTATATGACATTTCGTTATTATTTAAGAAAATATTCGAATAAAGTCAGATGAGGAATTACGAGAAGTAATTTTTTTAAACGTGTGATTTTTGTGGTGTGTACTCACCTAGTTGTGGTTGCAGGGGTCGATTCATAGCTCCTGGCCCCAAACTATTCCACTTCCTGACTGTGTGTGTGTGTGTGTGTGTGTGTGTGTGTGTATGTGTGTAATTACAGGTTTGGCTCATGGTGTCCCATCATTACTATTTTTTGTAGCCCTTAGTATTTTCTCTTTTAATTAATCTCAGTGATCTACCACTATGTGAAAATTTACACCTGAAGCTTCTTCTTGTTCCTATTGTAATTATTAAGAAAGCTTTTTTTGATCTATCATGTCCTTTTATAACCTTATATATGAATATCATATCTCTTCTTTTCCTCTTGTCAGCCATCTTGAGCATCTGTTATGTAAATAACTCTTCACCGTAACTCATGTTTCAGCTGTGGTAGCAATTTTGTAACTCTAGGCTTCTAGCATATCAATTTCTTTTTCATGAGTGGGCACCATGCAATTGCTGCATATTCCACATATTTTTATAAAATTTCTCCATTCGTATATCTTTGCAGTTTCCTAGTGGAGCATATTAATTTCTCAAAATTATTTTTTACATGGTTTTCCGGGTGATATTTGTTAATAACAACTCGATTCTTCTTTCTGTTTCATACTCTCAACATTTTATTAATCTCGCTTTCTCCAATTTCTGTTACATCTCATTTATCTACTATTCATTAATCTCTAATAATAGGCAATCAATCAAGAATTGTTAATATCTTCCAGGTTTAGTTTCCTGAATGATACTTATTACGAAGTAGTAATTGATGTATCTAGATCTAAGTCTGACCTCACTTTCATGTTTCTAGATAAACAGTATATATTGTATGTGGCTCCTCAAGGAAGGTTCCTTGACGCTGGTGAGGGGCTCTTGATCTAGGGAATTGGATCTATGCTCCAGTTCCCTGAATTAACCCTGAATACCTTCAACATCCCCCCCTCCCCCACAGGCTCTGTATAATCCTACTGATTTAGCGCTTCCCCTTGATTATAATAATAATAATATTGTATGTGGCCTTAGCTACAGATAATGCCATAAACCAGTCATTATCAAGCTCACCAAATTATATATAAAAACATTTCTAAGAAATAGAGGTTGCCTTCCCTTACACGAATGATACCCAGTTTTCTTCTATACCATCAAAGTCGTATTACACTTGCGGATTTAGTGTTTTCCTCTGAATATAATAATAATAATAATAATAATAATAATAATAATAATAATAATAATAATAATAATAATAATAATAATAAACCTAGTCAACGATTCATTCTAATTTAATAAATACGTTAGTATCAAATGTTAGAGAACGAGTCATTCACAAATCACAATGAAAGCAATTAAAAACAAAGTGCTCTTCGCGATCATTTACGATTTTCGTATAATTGAGAGTGCATTGAATCTGCCAAGTACGGACCAGGAAGCCTATAATGCAGTGTTCATTTTTTCTTCTGTTTACATCCTTTAAGTTAAGATCCAGCTACAAGTTTAAAGGTTGGACGAACTGCAGTCAATTGGTACTTCGTTACACGTGGCCGGTCGTTTTTTTCTTGTTTTTTTTTTTTTTTACGTTCAAGAGTCGCACGTAATTTGCAACGCCTGCGTTGTGCGTAGCTGTGCTGGGGAACGGCGTCAAACTGACACTCATTTAGTATTACGAAATGGACACGGAATAATGGTCGTTCGTTGTATTCTGCTGAAGGATATTACACCGAGAGGTGTGTGTATATCTCAGAGTGCCATAAACTAATCCTCATGGGAGAAAACAAAATAGAAGTCACTTTTCATCAAAACATAGATCATTTGTCGGGAAAAATCATCGGTCACGGGTCTATATAATATGACTCATTCATTGGTGTCGACGCTAAAACCGGGAAGCGAAAAATCCGAGTTGTCTAAGGACATACGTGAAAGTGATGGCCTAGGCCCTAGATGGTCCTGGATTAGGCCACGGCAACAACAACTTTTATTTAACGTCTATAACTCATGTGTGAATATTTTTTCGCAAGAAAACGGTGTCTTGATACGGATATAAGTCCGATGATGGTCTTTTTAGTGGCATTTCGAAGGAGTTTCGAAAATGAAGAAGTGGGGAGTAGTGTTAGTGGCCCTAAAGCTGAGTACCAGTGACTCCTACCCTTCGAATAGGCTGCAGATAATTGCTGTCAAGCATTCGGGAATGTCTTTGGCTCCAGTAGGCACTGGTATCTACTGATTTGTTTTATAAAAGTGTAGCTGTTAGCTACTGCTAGTGATACACTTGTGGTATCTTCACTGCAACGATGGTGAAGCTCTTCTTAAAACTCCAGCAAGAACCTGGTTTTAAGTTCGGCCACTCCCTATTTTGTGCCTCGACCCTAGCGTCGTGAAAGGTCTACTTCTAGCCATCAACACCAACCTACAATCAAAATCGAAGATGCAAGCATCCTCGATTTTGATGCCTGCAGTCTGGGATGTCTGTAGTTGGGGGGTAGAACCCACGATCAGAGAGTCATAAAACCCCAGAACGATTTCGTGAGTCATTCTCATCATAACGAAGCTCGTTCAGTGTTGTGGCCCTATGATGGGGTCGCAGTTACAAGTACTGGACTGGGGTCATAAGGTGAAGATGTATGATTAACGTTATCAATTACAGATACAGAACTGGAGTCATCAGTTCTGGGTAAAAAAATGGAGTCATCAGTTATGAGTACAGAACTGGAATCATCAGTTAATGGCTTAATTCTGTTTTTTCGGTATTTTCACATTCACATGGATGGATTTTCTTCAGCTAATATGAAATTCACTGTGGTGATTCTTACATCAACATATCTATGCATGAAAAGTCAAATATAACCTGGACAGAAAAATGAAATCCGGGATGAAAGACATCTGAAAATTTCAGTTCCATTCACATACCTTCATCAGTACTACTGAGGCCGAAATGTACAAATCTCATTTAGCCTGTGCTTCATTTGTCTGTTTTTTTTTTCACTTTTCATCGATCTGTATTTATTAATTTTAAGGCAAGAATATTTGTGCATTATAGTAGCTGAGATTTTTTTCTGAATTTTTCTTTAAGTTATAAAAGCAAAACAAAGTCAATAAAAGAAATATTTCGAATCGTAAATGAAGCCTTTTCAGTAATCTTTCTCACCATTTCATAATTTGGTTTCATCACAAATTGGCTAAATCGCATTGATTCTTTTGTGAGTCGTCAAGCGAAGAAATGGGTATAAAATGACGTGGAGTTCCAGCTGATGATGCAGTCTGCCTCAGACCTCCGACCTTCCCACACACATCATGGTAATGTTTTTTACAGTTCTTCGTGTTACTTCCTCTCTTGCTGTGTTTTGTATCTTTAATTTTTGTGTTCATGATCTGAACACAATGCCGGATGCATCGTACACACACAATACTGCACAAGTGTCTTATTTCTAAACTTGCATCACAAACTGAAAGGATCCGGGTTCGATTTCCTAGTAGGGCAAGACAAGTGGGCAAATCTCATTACACTTTTCGCTTCTGTTCACCTTGTAGTAAATAGGAACCTGGTTTGAGGTATCTCGCTTAGTTTCAAACGTCGTGTTCAAAGTAATTGATATATTAAGATATTTAAAATAAAATTCAAAAAGCTGGACAATAATTTTTTTTTTGATGACTTGTTCAGGAGCCGAAGTCGAACCGTTCAATGTTACTAATGAAAGTAAATTATCACTCCTGGGTTATAAATGCTCTGGTTTAAATCGACGGAATTAAGTCTCACTTGAAGTCAAACGAGACGTCAAGTTTGTGAGATATGGTGAGACGACGGAGCTGATGAAGCGCTGAAATTAAATATATGTTATATCAAGTGTGAAACTAATTCCCCAACCTCCCTACCGTTACGGTCTTTTGCCCTTCTCTACTTTTCTCGCCCCTACTGTGACTTGACAGTGGTCCTGGACGAGCCAAAACATTCATAAGGGTCCTCTCCAAGTGGGGATTTTTACGGTGAATTACTCCAGAGACGGTACTGTGACTTTTATTCTTTGTATCACATATGTCCTGAAGGTTAGAACATTTGACAATATACCGGGAGTGACAAGCATTTACAATAACAAAGGAAGAGTTATGAATCATGTTATTGACGTTGCGAGAGTGATGGAGTCTGTGAAGACTCGAAGGAGTTACATTAATTATATTTTATGCTAAGCACTAACTCCTATTGATCATTTAACATTATGGAGTGATGTAGGTTAGATCCTTCCTTCACTAATTGCTACAGACTCACTAAAAAATTCGCTTTGCGCAAATTTTTTTTTTTTTTTAAAGGGGATGGACTTATGAGATAGATATCACACCTTTCATGACAGAAAAGAATATTATCAGGGTTCAAAAATTATTTTTATTTTGAATTGTGTGTCAGAAGGGAAGCTTCCACTTTCACCAATGTATTAAAGAGAGCATACCAGGGTCAGGACGGGTTCTGGCCCGGGTCTTTTGCATGTGACCTGACAGTAGGGAAGCATACAGCCCTTGATCACGACCTCCTCACTAACACTAACACGCTTCCCTTAAAGGTGGAGAGAATAAAACCAACAGGAAATAGAGCACTAAGTTACAGAAGACTCGGCTATAGAAACATTGTACTTGATTTTTGTGAAGTGATATTATTAGTCTGACGAAATGGAGGTTTTAACCGCCTCTGCTGTAACTGGCTTCCTGTTATGTTACGTGCAAAGCTTATTGACTGTTCATGGGATCCTGAGACTACGTTTCGCGGTAAGAGACTCGCCACCTTGAAACAAGACTATTATACTTACATCACCTCCTCTTTTTTTAAGACTGAGGCAGTTTACACCTCAAAATTACCTCTCCGTTGGCCAATAATTCCCTAATCTTACATCTCCAGTCAATAATGGTTTTAGCCTTTTAAATAGGCATTAAGGTAAACTCTAAGAGTTATACGCTGATATACACCTTTCTGTGTATATGCGCTGAGAGATACACATCTTTCAAGGTATGTAATACACAGTAATCTAAAGGTGTGTGATGTATCAACATTAATTTATTTGACTGAAGTACGGTGTAGATATTTACCACAGGGGATGCTTCCTGTAGTGTATATCATAGATACTTACCACAGGGGATGCTTCCTGTAGTGTATATCATAGATATTTACCACAGGGGATGCTTCCTGTAGTGTATATCATAGATACTTACGACAGGGGATGCTTCCTGTAGTGTATATCATAGATACTTACCACAGGGGATGCTTCCTGTAGTGTATATCATAGATACTTACCACAGGGGATGCTTCCTGTAGTGTATATCATAGATACCACATGGGATGCTTCCTGTAGTGTATATCATAGATATTTACCACAGGGGATGCTTCCTGTAGTGTATATCATAGATATTTACCACAGGGGATGCTTCCTGTAGTGTATATCATAGATACCACAGGGGATGTTTCCTGTAGTGTATATCATAGATACCACAGGGGATGCTTCCTGTAGTGTATATCATAGATACTTACCACAGGGGATGCTTCCTGTAGTGTATATCATAGATACCACATGGGATGCTTCATGTAGTGTATATCATAGATACCACAGGGGATGCTTCCTGTAGTGTATATCATAGATACCACAGGGGATGCTTCCTGTAGTGTATATCATAGATATTTACCACAGGGATGCTTCCTGTAGTGTATATCATAGATACTTACCACAGGGGATGCTTCCTGTAGTGTATATCATAGATACCACAGTTGATGCTTCCTGTAGTGTATATCATAGATACTTACCACATGGGATGCTTCATGTAGTGTATATCATAGATACTTACCACAGAGGATGTTTCCTGTAGTGTATATCATAGATACTTACCACATGGGATGCTTCATGTAGTGTATATCATAGATACTTACCACAGGGGATGCTTCCTGTAGTGTATATCATAGATATTTACCACAGGGGATGCTTCCTGTAGTGTATATCATAGATATTTGCCACAGGGGATGCTTCCTGTAGTGTATATCATAGATACCACAGGGGATGCTTCCTGTAGTGTATATCATAGATACTTACCACAGGGGATGCTTCCTGTAGTGTATATCATAGATACTTACCACAGGGGATGCTTCCTGTAGTGTATATCATAGATACTTACCACAGGGGATGTTTCCTGTTTTGTGTTGCTGATCATATTGAAAGTTATACATTCCTTTTGTTCTGGATTCATTTTCATTGTAATAATTTTTTATCCACTTTTATTTCAGAAGTTACTATTATCTCTCCTGGGTGTGGGTCTTCTGGTCTCCGTGACCCATGCTGGACACGGAGGTGGAGGACACGGAGGAGGTGGCTACGGAGGTGGAGGACACGGTGGTGGTGGCTACGGAGGTGGAGGACACGGTGGTGGTGGCTACGGAGGTGGAGGACACGGTGGTGGTGGCTACGGAGGTGGAGGACACGGTGGTGGTGGCTACGGAGGAGTCGGTGGAGCATCAAACAATAACTTCAACCTAGCAGGACCCAAAGGAGGTGGTGGATATGGAGGTGGTGGCGGTGGATATGGCGGCGGTGGTGGATACGGCGGTGGCGGCTATGGTGGTGGTGGATACGGCGGCCATGGTGGTGGTGGATACGGTGGTGGCGGCCATGGTGGTGGTGGATACGGTGGTGGCGGCCATGGTGGTGGTGGATACGGTGGTGGTGGCCATGGTGGTGGTGGATACGGTGGTGGTGGCCATGGTGGTGGTGGATACGGTGGAGGATATGGCAAATAAGCTACAGGCAACGCGACTTAAAACTTAGTGAAATAAGATCAAATTAAACGTTTAATAGGAATTATTTGTATTGTAAATTCGTGAATAAAGACTGAAAAGGTAGAATATTTTTATGCCTTTATTGCAGATAGAAAAAATACTTGGTAATTTATTTCCATAGTTTTTAAATAAAATATTCGGTGAAATCGCTATTATTATAATCATAGGGAAGCGCTAAACCCGTAGGATTATACAGCGCATGTGGGGGGGATGAAAGGTATTCAGGCTCAATTCAGGGAACCGGATCACAGATCCAATTCCCTAGATCAAGAGCCCCTCACCATCATCAAGGAACCTCCCTTGAGGGGGGGGGGTGATTCTGCGCCCTTCCACCGAACAGTAATATCCTCTCAGTACATTATTCCTCTGACTTTGCAGGTTTAGCGCTTCGTTTTGATAATTGTCTACCTCCTAAATGTTCTCGCTTCTGGAAGGTTTATCAGGAAACAAATGTTTCCTGACGCGGGTCTTAGCCATATGATGACTAGCAGCTAGAGCTTTTGGTCATCTGACCGAGGCCTTCCTTTGGCTTACTGGTCCACTCCCCCTCCCGTCAAGGGAGGTTCCTTGACACTGGTGAGGGGCTTTCGATGTAGGGAATTTGATCTGTGCTCCGGTTCCCTGAATTGAGCCTAAATACCTTTCATACCCCCTCCCTACGTGCACTGTATAGCCCAACGGGTTTAGCGTTCCCATGATTATTATAATCAACCCCCCTTTAAAAATTATGGTTACAACCAATAATTATTAGTTCCTGGGAGATCATTGCCCCAACAGTCCAGTACCAGACGATCTTCTGGTTGGTGCATGGAACAGAAAATGTGTATGGGACAGGAGGGAAAAAGGGTATACAAGGTAGGGAAACTCATTCAGGCTGTCACTTCAGCCCAGCGGGTATATAAAAATCTTAAAAAAAAAAAAAAAAGAATTGCGCTGCTGCTGGATGTGTTCGGAATCGATTCTGGATTATTATGTTTGATGTCATTGGTTAAGAGCCACCGAGTCCTACATAAGCAACTTGGTAGAAGAAAATTCCTCTCTTGAACACTCCATTTTTGTTTTCAATCATTGGGATGAACCGAACCCATATGGGATATGCAGCGCCAAGGGAAGCAATCAGATTCAATCCAATCCAAGGAAAGGGAGGACAGGTCCAGTTCCTTGGATCAAGAATCCTTGAGGGGGATAGACTTCCAAAGCACAAGAACCTGCAAAAAAAAAAAAAAAACTCCAATATCAAGGAATATTTTAGCAGTCTGGTTCCATAAGTAAAACCCAGTATAAGTACTGACAAAACTATTCAAACTTCTGAGCAAATAAAAACTTTCAGTCAGCTGTAGTAATGAGCAGACTTGGGTCACTTTTTTTTTTTTTTTTTTTTTTTTTTTTTTTTTTTTTTTTTTACACAGGGATTGACAAGGTTAAGGATTCCTAACTTTATTGACAAGCTAAGAGCTGTTACCTACATCAGCTCATTTGAAAGCATTTTTATTATGAGATATACAAGTAGGGAAAAGGATGAAGTTTGAGCCATCTGTGTGCCAGCATTTTCATTTGATCAACTGACTATCTCGTTGACACTATGCCGTATGAATGTGTTCCATACTCGAGTCATCCTGGGTATATATGATCTCAGATGGAGTGATGTTCTGGAGAAGGGTACAGCCAGAGTGAAGTTGCTGCTTTCTGCCCGTCTTGTGGCATAAAAGCTTGTTTCACGCTGTCCTCGAAGTGGATCCAAGTGTGGCACTTTGACAATATTGGCCTTGTACATAACAGTAAGGCCACCCACATCCCTCCTGTGTTGAATGCTCTGCTGAAATGACAGATCTATCCAGGCGAGAGACGAGACGTCTTGCTCTGTTCTCTACTCTGTCAAGCAGTCGCAGATGGGAGGGGGGGGGGCAGGCAAACCAAGAAAGTGGAGCATACTCAAGGTGTGAGCGTACTTGTGCCTCGTACAGAATCTTGCAACCCCTACTGTCAAGCAGATGCGAGATACGGCGAAGTGCTGTAAGCTTCCTGGCTGCCTTGTTTGCAAGATTTACAACATTGTTCTTCATGGTTTGGAGTCAAATTTCACCAAGGATATCAACTTCTCCAGGTGCCAACACCCTCCCGTTCATCCTTACTACTGCACCAGCATTACCATCATGACGCCTAGAGACTATCGTCATTTGCGTTTTCTCAGGTGCAAATGTTACTTGCCATCTATTTCCCCCAAGCTGATATAGCTCTTAGCTGGTGATTGATGTAGCTTATAGCAGCTGGCATTTCTTCTCTTGGATAAGTGAATGTCAGTGTACAGTCGTCTGCATATGCGTGTGATTCTGGGATGAGATGAAGGTCATTGAAGTAGAAATTCCATAATGGTTCCAGCACGCTTCCTTGTGGAACACTTTTCCCAATAGGATGTCTTGCTGATTCCGTTCCATGAAGTTAATCACTGAGGAGACATGCTACTCTGAAAATAATGTGGTACCTTCGTTCACTAAATGACCTTGTTTTATTTGGCGTGATAGTCTCCAACATAATTAATCAGTTAAATTACTTTAATGATTACAGATTTCACTCAAATTTCTTGAACTCTCTGGCAGTATCCCAAGTTAGTTTCAGGATTAGTACTTTATGCAGCGTAAGGGGTTGCTACCTGGAGAGTTTACCTGGAGAGAGTTCCGGGGGTCAACGCCCCCGCTGCCCGGTCTGTGACCAGGCCTCCTTAGGTCAGTGTCCCAGGATGCGACCCACACCAGTCGACTAACACCCAGGTACCCATTTTACTGATGGGGAACATAGACAACAGGTTGAAAGAAACACGTCCAATGTTTCTACTCTGGCTGGGAATCGAACCCAGGCCCTCGCCGTGTGAAGCGAGAGCGTTAACCACCAGAGCCCTCTATTTTAGTTCTAAAACACTCGTGGGTTACGGAAGAAGGTACTTCTGTACTTCCCCCATGGAAATGTATTGGCAACGAAGTCCTCGTAGATCAGTGTTAGTGGAACGAGATTTTATTTGATCCAAGGTTGTGTATATGCACTAAGCTACTCGGCTTTTCTGCATTGCTGATTACGTATTAATAATCATCGAAACTACCAAGATTATATTCATGGAGCGCTAACCCCTAGGGTTATATAGCGCCTGTGGGGGGAAAATGGAAGGCATTCAGGTTCCATTCAGGGAACTTTAGTACAAATATAATTTCCTAGATCAAGAGCCCCTCCCCAGCGTCAAGGAACCTTCTTCGAGGGACCACGATCTCTTCACCTGGAGGTGGAAAATTTGTTTTATACTTTCTAGAATTAAACTATTTACTGTGAAATAAAAAATATTTTCATGTTCTCTAAAATGGACTTAGATTCTTTGACGTGAATTAAGCAATAGTTTAGAGTTTTCGTCCTGTGTGAAATTTATTAACTTACTGGATTAAGTATGAGGAGTCTTAAACACTAGTGATATTATCTTTAGAGTATTTAAGGTTATGCACGGTAAGCTGAATTATTATTATAATCAAAAAGAAGCGCTAAGCCACAAGGGCTATACAGCGCTGCAGGGCAGGAAGGAAGCGAGGGCATCAGGTGGCAAAAGGGAGATGGATGAGTAATAGGTTACAGATAACAGTGGGGCAGTGGATGGTGAAAGGGTAAAGGGCAGCAAGAGACTGAGCTAGAAAGGGCTGAGGGGAGTGCGACAGGTATCATCATCAGAGTTTGTGGAGTAAATCAGTCGTTGTCAAGAAGTCAATGAGAGAGTCAGGATTAAAGGAGGGTTCATCAGCAAGAAGGGAAGGTAAAGAGAGTAGTAGAACGAAGACGACATTGGAGGCAAATTCTGCGTGCACGTTGATAGAGAGGGCAGTCTAACAGAATGTGGCTAATCGATACTGGAACTTGACACTGCTCACAGAGAGGAACAGGGTGCCTCTCCATGAGATACCCATGAGTAAGACGAGTGTGGCCAATGCGAAGGCGGGAGAGATGTGGTCGCCCAACCTCGGCACTGATGACAAGAAGACGGCCAGTAACCTATGCTCGGTTTAATAGAAGGAAGTTTGTTACCAAGCAGAGTTGATCAATGTTGTTGCCAACGGGTGTGAAGGTGGATAGCTATTGTAGCAAAATAGTCCAGAAATGGAACACCTATATAGGAAATTGGTAGGTTATGTACTGCTGACTGCGCAGCAGTGTCTGCCTGTTCATTGCCCTGTACGTCGACATGACCAGGGACCCAACAAAAAACAGTATCTTTATGCTTGGTAGAGATACGGCATAGCCAAAGTTGGATACGGATAACTAGGGGGTGAGATGTATCAAATTTTTGTATAGCCTGTAGAGCACTAAGGGAGTCCGAGACTACCACAAATGATGACACAGGCATAGATGTGATATGAATAAGTGCTGCAAGAATGGCATACAATTCAGCAGTAAAAATGCTAGCCGAAGATAATAAATGCCCCCGCACGATGCTGTCCGGAAACACTGCTGCGAATCTGACGCCATCTGAAGACTTAGAGCCATCTGTGTACACAGCGATGGCATGAGAATGAGAGTGGAAGTGATCAAGAAAAAGAGCGGGAAGCCACCGTAGGCAGTTGGGCTTTCAAGCAAGGGAGTGAGAAAGAACAGACCCGAAGAGCTGGAACTTCCCAGGGGGGTAGGGAAAAGTGAGATGCTACATGAACATATAAAGGTGGTAACTGAAGGGAAGACGAGAGCGAATGTAAGCGAAGAGAACAGGGACGGAGCAAACAGGGGTGGCGAACAAATAATGTCTACTAATGTCTACGCACATGCATATATATATATACATACATCTAGGTTTTTCTCCTTTTTCTAAATAGCTCTTGTTCTTTTTATTTCTTCTATTGTCCATGGGGAAGTGGAAAAGAATCTTTCCTCCGTAAGCCATGCGTGTCGTATGAGGCGACTAAAATGCCGGGAGCAATGGGCTAGTAACCCCTTCT